TGGTAGGTATTATTTTTAATTATTAGCAAATTTTTTGGTTGATTAAAAATTAAAATAATATTAAAATAAGAAAACACTTTTTTACGCCTATGCCTCGCTTAAAATCACCTAGCCCATGGCTTGACTTCCAAGCATTAATGCGCATTATGCCTTTTAGAACACTGTAAATAATAACCTAATGAATGAATTATAACGTAAATCATGAAGATTAATGAGGGCTTTGTTGATGAAAAATAAGCTTTGTTAATGAAAAAATAAAAAATTAATGGATGAATTATAATATAAATCATGAAGATTAATAAGGGCTTTGTTGATGAAAGATAAAAAAAATTGCTTTGTTAATGGAAAATAAAAATTGTAAGAACAAAATACTTAATTGAATGATAAGTTACTAAATTTTCGTTGATTTTTTTTTTTTTAATAATTGAATGTCAGTTTCACTCCTTATATTAATTCCAACCCAAATAATAAATATCAATTAAATATTGCACCACTTAAATTAATTCTAAATCAAATGATAAATATTAATTAAATTGGCAATAAGGGCTTTGTTGATGAAAATTAAAAATTGTAAAGAAAACAAAATCAATTGAATGTTAGCCATTGAATTTTCGTGTGTAATTTCTTTTTTATTCATTAAATGTCATCATTAATATATAAATGTAACCCTTAAAATATTTCTAACCTCAATTATAATAACTTAAAGGATAAATTATAATGTAAAGCATGAGAATTAAAAATTGCTCTGTTGATGAAAAATAAAAACTCATTGCATGAATTATAATATAAATCATGAAGATTAATAAGGGTTTTGTTGATGAAAAATAAAAATTGATTCGTTGTTGGAAAATAAAAACTGTAAGAACAAAATGGTAAATTGAGTGCTAGGTCATTGATTATTATTATTATTATTATTATTATTATTATTATTATTATTATTATTATTATTATTATTATTATTATTATTATTATTTCACTTCTTATATTAATTCCAACCCAAAATTATAAATATCAATTAAATATTCACTCCTTATATTTTATTATTTATAAACCAAATGATAAATACTAAATAAATTGGTATTCCAATTATGAGGGTATAGTGTGCATATAATTAAATATGTAGGGATAAATTTGATATTTAAAAGTTTCTCCATCATCCTCACTTTTAATATATTGTAGATAAATAAATAAATATAATAATGATGTATGGTTAATAATTGAATTAATTTGTTAATAGGATCAATTTTAAGGTTTAAATAAGTTAATATATATAAATAAGAAGGCCTAATTTGTTAGATTAGTACAAATTAAACTATATAAACGCCATTAGGTTTAGAAGTCTATATAGTTGCCTCATTTCATCTCTCTTTAAAAATAAGTAGAAACTCTTCCCTACCAAAAGTTTAATTTCAATTTCTCCTTTTGGGACACGAGTATGCCCTTACAATAAGGTATGGTTCACAGTTTATTCATGATATAATCTAGAGTGATGCTACAGTTACAGGGGCCTAGTTCACAGGCCCCTGCCAGGGAAGACACAAGATGGGTCTCACAATATTTTTTTTTTTAAATACAAGTGGACCCCTCCACACAGTGAGGGGCTTGTAAAGTCCCTGTGAAAGAATGCTCTGTACGCAGGGCATTCTTCTATAATCTATCGGTTAACCTATGTGTGTAAAGAATCTATATTGACTCTTGCTGGAAAAGTGTATATATATATATATATATATACAAGTCCAAAAAGGCTATACATATGCAAGTGTTATGTATATAAACAATTTCCTAGAATTAGGCAGTAATTCGAATTTCTATTTTAATTATCATTGAACAAATTAGTGCCTAGTTGGATTGATGATTTAACGATGCATTTCACGTTTTATTCTTATCTTTCTAATCTTAAAACTTTTATTTACAAATAGTGTTTTCTAACAATATTAATTAATTAATTAATTAATTTAATTGAGTAAGGATATGAGTTCATATTGAAAGAGTGAGTTTTATCAAAGTTTCTAAATAAATGGTAAAATTAGGATTTTGGCACATTCACCATGCGGATATAACATCTCTCCTTGTCATTCGAAAAGTTATTGCTAGGATTCAAGGTAGGTAAACCTCCCATTTGTCTTCATACGCACATTACATTATCAAATGTATAAATGTGTTACTTAAATTATTATTATATGTTCTTAATATTTAATTATTATATTTTATGTCATTAATGCTTTTCATGACATATTCATATACATCAATGCTTCCATAAATATACAGGAAGTTTCAAGAGAAATAAAAGTTTCCAAATGTCAATGAGTCAAGGAATGTTTTTAAATAAATGTATTCCGAATGTTTTGTTACTAGGTATATGTCTATGCTATGAAATGTATGAGTGAGAAATGGGACATGGGAGACCGGCGTACCCGACCAATGTTCAATTATATTGTTAATATTAATGTTAACCGTTTTGCGATACTACCAGTAGGACTCGATCGGGTTTCAAATAATAATTGTCCACTATATTCAAATTGGCTAGGTGATACATCAAGTGAACTCATGACGTCAATGTTAAATTTTTGAAGAAATAAAAGAAAGGGGATACATAGTGAGGAATGATTTTATCTTAAAGTAATTCATATGCATATTATAAGCATACATCATATATATGGGGTTTGCTTACTGAGCATTAGCTCATTCCACATTATTCCTTCCCATTTTTAGATGATGAAGGTAATGATTTGAGATGACTACTTGTGGTGCAATGGACTCAATACTGATACATTCAAAAAATGACTCCTTATAGAAAATAAAGTTAACATTTAATTTTAGGGTAATTGGCATAAAACGTCCCTACCTTTCAAGTTTATTGTGGAAAACGTCCCTACCTTTCATTTTTTGACATTTTTGCCCTCATTTCAACCTTTCTTTACGCTGGACGTCCTTCCGTCCATATTTCGTCAGTTTTTCCGTTAATTAAATACAAAAATACCTTTTTCTTTCCATAAACAAGGGTAAAATTGTCTTCACCCACTTCATCCCTTTTTCCCGCCATCAACTTAGTCCATAAGTAACAGTAGCAACAACATGAATCTGAAAATACTTTAAATGATTAAGTTAAATAAAGAAAAAATATCGTGAACACATTATATTTCACAATTCCACAACTACTGTTGCTGTCATCTTGTGTCACTGGAAAAATTTAGAAAGACATATTAAATGGGTAGTCAATTTATAATGAGTCAATTTAAAATGAGCCATTCATCTTCTCCATTGAACCAAAAAGAGCCATTCACCATTTTGGCTCATTATAAATTGACTACCCATTTAATATGTCTTTCTAAATTTTTCCAGTGACACAAGATGACAGCAACAGTAGTTGTGGAATTGTGAAATATAATGTGTTCACGATATTTTTTCTTTATTTAACTTAATCATTTAAAGTATTTTCAGATTCATGTTGCTGCTACTGTTACTTATGGACTAAGTTGATGGCGGGAAAAAGGGGTGAAGTGGGTGAGGACAATTTTACCCTTGTTTATGGAAAGAAAAAGGTATTTTTGTATTTAATTAACGGAAAAACTGACGGAATATGGACGGAAGGACGTCCAGCGTAAAGAAAGGTTGAAATGAGGGCAAAAATGCCAAAAAATGAAAGGTAGGGACGTTTTCCACAATAGACTTGAAAGGTAGGGACGTTTTGTGCCAATTACCCTTTAATTTTATTTTTTTTAATTCAAATGCGAAAATTTTCTACAAGTTATGCTCATAAATGAAGTCAATAATGTTCATCATATCAAAGAAAAATTTAATTGCTTCCACATTCATAATTTTAAAAGAAAATGAAATTATTAATACTGGAAGTGTTACAATACCTGTGGAGATTGCTTTAGATCATATAAGGCTTTATTCAATCTATACAGCTTGTCTTCCTTGTCCTGGATGATGAAACCTTCTTGTTGATCGACATAAACTTCTTCTTTCAATTCTCCATTCATAAATAGGCATGCTCAACTGTGCAACCAAAGCTAAAATGGTTCTCATTGTTTCAAATCGATCAACAAGAGAAAATATGTCGTTGTAATCAACACCTTCTTATTGGAAATACCGATTTGTCACTAACAGGATTATATAGATATATGTTTTAGATTGAGAACAACTACCCACAAAAATATATTTTACAGATTTTTCATCGAGTTTACTTCCCCATCACTTGAAATGCTTTCTCTTCAATTTTCTCAGTTGGTTTATTCATTCTTTCTTTCTTTATGAGAGTACAAAGAGCCCATTAAATTCATCAAATGAAGATGTCGACAAATATTTGGATTTTTCAATGGCTGCAACTACATGACCAAACTTTGGAGACAGACCTCTGAACACTTTTGCAACTATAGTTTGATCAGAAATTTCCTCTCCAAATGATCTCATTTGGTTTACAACTGCAGAAACTATAAATTCTCCACTTTTCACATCGAAATCACGGCAATGAGATTGAAGTTCCGCTGTGATTACCTTTTCAGAATCTTGGAACACCTTCTGCAATATTGTCCAAGCTTTTTTTAACAATTTTTGAGAAAATAGTCTCATGAGCTGCTTGTTGAATGAAGAATAATACCTTGGAGTCCTTCTAATTTTCTTTCAATCTGATCTCCTCATTTGGCTCAGGATATCCATTCTCAACCAAGTCTCAAAGATCTTTAGACTTAAACAAAGTCTTCATTTTAATGCTCTATAATTCATAACATTCTCCCTTGAAGACTGGAATTGACAGTTGAGATACATTCACGACACTGTCGCTAGTCACCACGAATCTATACCGAGTTATAAAAGAACCAGGCTTCGATGCCGCAAATGCTGGGACTTTTGAGAAGCAAAGAACAAGAAATAGAAAATATCCAGCAAAGTAAAACAGAAAACTCGAAGTAAAAATGAAGAAAACACAGGTTCTTATCTGCCATTTATTCCAGAACTAAAAGTGCCTATTTAAGCAAACTGAAAGCAGCTCAAAAATCTCAACTAACAGCACATTTTATTGCCACTACTTCATACTCATTTTGACTAACTAAAAACCAGAAAAATACGTAGCAAATATCTGCAACTTAAACCAAGATCAATGACTAAGTCTAAGTGGAAATTAACACATCAACTTTCAACAGAATTTATCCATCATGCTCAATTTGTCGTACCAAACCAAAAAAAAATTAATGTGAAAAACTTGTATAAGTGATTGATAAAATGACGGTAATATGTAAATGTAGTTAGCAGTAGCTGCAGAAATGATTGGTACAAATCTAAGACAAATCCTTAAATTTTCTTTAAGAACCTTTGATAGTTACATGTCCTCAAAATGAGGGTACGATGCCATATCCAGGACTATCTGCTATTGAACTTGTAGAGAACATTTGATCAGAATCTGTTCTTTTTGCAAATCGACCTTTGATCCGGGGTCGAGTTTCTGCATAAGCCTTCCTCGTTGCATATCTAATCATCTTTTGGAACTTCCTCTTCTTCTTCTTCTCCCTGTACCTTAATACGCGGGCCTCACGGTCCATGGCAGAAAGTTGTGTTGGCATTTGGATAGGTGGACTTGAGGAAAGATAAATTGTGCCTTTTGAGGGTCTTTGCTGGGAGACTGATGAAACTTCACTCAATCTTGATTCTGGTACAACTCCAACATCCAAGGATGACAGGGAAACCTAATTTAGAACAATCTTTAATTAATTAGAACTCTCCAAATCAACAATAATTAGATAAAGAGGAAAAACTTACACCAGCATTGGACATCTCATACTCCATCTCTAACTGAAATCTATTTTGATGAACCTCTTCTTTGCCCTTTGATTCATACTGAACTGGCACAACACTATCACCATCATACAATTTCTTATCATGATCAGGAACATTGTGATTTTGTTTCTGATTTTTGTACTGATCTTCAGTGAAGTGAATTTCTTGACATGAATTGTACTGATTAAGGTCTATATATTCATCGACTTCACCTGATAAGTGCCCATTATTGTTCTCTTCATTTCCACCCTTCTTGACACGGTTTAGCAATAACCAGGAAGCTGCCTCGTCGTCCTCTGGGGTCAAGAACTCGCCGTCTGCATCCATATCACCAGTCGGAGCCGCAGAGGGGCCGTGGAGTGAGCCTGGAATCGGCAAAATGGGGATACGTTTGTGGCGGCGAGCTAGTGGGTTGGCCAAGTGGACGTCGGAGTCGCAGGTGGTGCAGAGGGACGCGGCATCAGCCTTGCATAAGAAGGCGGCCGGGGCACTTTCACAAGCCTCGCACACCCACACGCGCTCGTGCCGTGAAGAGTCCCCGTTGGCGGCATGGATGCGGGCGTCGCAATCAATGCACAAGTAAGCCGCGTCTGCCCGGCAGTACACAGTCCACGGTGCGGATTGGCATGTGTCACACATACGAGCCAAGTTGTTACTGGTGTCACCATTTTCCTCCTTCAACATTTCTGTTAAATTATTTTCTTTGCCTAATGATAATGAAAACATACCGTGGATGACTTTTTGGGCTTATTAATGGAGTGAATTAATGCTACACCAACGGGGGTTGTTGTCGATGACACGTGTAAACAAGATAGTGGTTAAGAAAAGTAGTCAAAAAATCTTGTGGTTGGCAGGAGTTCTTGTAAAAGGCAGGTGGGGTCCATATACTTTGGCTTTTTGAATCAATCGATTTGGAGGATCTGGGTTGTCGAGTTGAAGTGGTAATTTTTTCAACAAAAATGATTGGTGTACAGATTTAATTCCTACCGCAAACTCACAAAGATGTGGAATTCTCCTTAATAAACAATGTCAAAAAATTAATACACCCTCTATATGAGGTGTCCGTAGGTATCATGACTTTTTCTTTTAAGAATAATGCTATTTGCAGTCGCTCATTACAACAGTCGTCATACGTGGCATACACATGATAAGTGATTATTTGATACATTAATGAATAAAAAAACTACTACATTAATGTATCAAATAATCACCCGACATGTATGCCACAGTGAACGACTACAAATAATATTATTCTTTTTTTAATGATCGAGCTTGCTGTAGGCCACTCCCACTTGCAAAGGGAGTGGATGAATATTTTTTTTTAAATGATCACCCGTTACCCACTTCGAAAAATATCCTTTTTTCAAACATCTATCTTTTGAATGGTATTTTTTTTTAAAAGTGTCATAAGTATATCATTTTTGACATATTTCTTGACAGTCCTCTCACATGTCGGAGTAGAGTCGCGATTAAAATAATCTTGAGCCCCATCATTTGTGTGAAAGCTGTAAATGTGTAGTGTTGTACATCTATCATTTTTTATTTATTTTTTTTTTTTTTAGAATGATGATTAAAAATAGGGAAAAATTTTAAATTCACGTATAAAATATTTTATTGTGTGAATATATGATTAAAAATGAGTATAAAAATAAATTAAATGCCATTAAATAGGGAATTACTTAAAAAAAACTAAAGTCCTATTTGACCCACATTCTTTTAAAATATATATTTTTAAACGATAATTTGATATCATTTTAATCACACATTATTCAATAAAATAATATTACATGTAAATTCAAAAAAAAATCTTATTTTTTAACCACACATTTTCCATCAATACACTATTCAAAAATGCATTCTTATAATAATAATGGGGCTCAAACAAGGGCTACATTTTAATATAAATAGCCTTTTTTTTATTCGTTAAAGGTAAAGAAAACTATGCTCCCGTTTGGCTTTCATTATCTAAGAAATTTACGTTTCTTTCTTCTTTTCAACCACACAATCTTATATGAGATAACATTACATGTAAATCAAAATTTTCTTCTTTTGTAATCATACAATCTCCAAAAAAATACTATTCCTAAATGCATAATTTCAAATGATGGTGGCCAAATGGGGGGCTAAGTTATCGTTTGACTGAATAGATACAATCAAAGTTCGAAAATGCATAATACGTAATAATGTGTTCCAATCAAGTATCAAACATTACAAACATATGTGTGCCTATGCGAACATAGACACGATAAGATATCATTATTAACCTCATTCCCATCATCAAAATTATCAATAATTAAAAATTGTGCATTACAAGCATCACTTGCTAATTAAACTGGAGGAAGATCGAAGAAGAATGAGGCTCAAGCTCGAGCTCAAGCTCAGGCTCGACATAGGTAGTTTACAACTTTACGATTTTTTTTATTTTTTTATTTTTTAAATCACAAAATCCTACATATTGTTGTATATAATTCGCAGATTTGGATTATTTTCGCTAATTTGATGTTTGTTAGACTCAATTTGCTTTTTTTAAGTTATAAAAATGGACTGAATTTTGCTAAGTTAATTTTGACACAATTTTTAATCATGCATATGTGATCATATAGGTTGACCGTATTAGCACGAGTATACCTCAAATGCGAGACGTTTCGAAAGCGCTCCAAGCATATACACGCATTTTAGAACAATGAGAAAAATCTTATACTTATGAAGTAAATAAAAAGCATTATATTGAAAATTAACCATTTGTTTGACAACAATTAAAATGGTTTTTTCGGGAAAATGAATTTAGGAGTAATGTGTGGTTAAAAATTAGAAAATAATTTAGGAGTTACGTGTAAAATATTTTATTATAAAAATGTGTGATTGAAAATAAATTTGAGAATAAAAATGAATTTTGTTTTAATAGTTATCAAATAGGACTAAATCTTCTAAGATTTTTTGAGAAGGCACGTAACTACTATCATAGTTAGGTGTTCAAGCCACGTACGTTTGTAATATGTGACTAGCTTTGGTTCATCAGAAAATAGAAAGTTTGAGGTGAAGCGAAGCGAAGAGGAAAAGGAGAAGAAATTTGTTTAAGAATTTAAATTTTAGAAATGTTCAAGATATTTTATTTTAGTTCTAATATGGTACAGCAAATGTGTATGTATTCCTATCAATATAACTATTAGGCCCTCTTTGAAACCCACCCCGCCCCCCTCTTCTGGGGAAAAATTGATTTTAAAATAGTAAATTTAAAAAAAAAAAATGTGTAGTTAAAAGATTAAAAAAATTTAATTTACGTGTAGAATTATTTTATTAGAGAATATGATTAAGAATGAAATTTGAAAAAAAAAATTTAAGAAAAATAGAGCTCAAACATAGGCCTAATAAGTTAAAGATAATATAATTTTCAAAGTGATTAATATTTACTTCAATAATTTTCAAAGGGAGATGGGGGTTGATAAATAGAAACCCTTTTAAAATAATTTTCTAAATCATTATATATATTACAAAAAGAAGAAGAGCATGTTTGAGCCACATTATAATAAGAATGAGAAATAGAGCCGTTATGGACCTCACATCAGAGATAGAAATTTAAAAATGGTGGCTTGATATGATGAATAACGGTCATATTTTTCATTTTAATAAGGTAAAAATGTGGCTCAAACAGGGGCTAAGTTACTTTTAGTAATTAATATGAGTTTTTTTCTCTTTATAAAAGTAACAATAAATCAAGCAAAATGAGGACTCATAAAATCAAATTCAAATTTATTAAAAGGGAGTTTTATTTTATACTGCCATGTGGCAATGCACTACCCATAAAATTATCAAAATCAATTATGTTATTTGTATGTAGTTGGTTATAATGGTTGAAGGTGTTGTTAAAATTCGAGCTATTAATTTAAAAAACTGTTTTTGAAATAGATGAATATAATGTAGTCAAGTATGTGTTCTCAATCAAAACTATCTAACTAGATTGTAAATCTAGCATGATTCTTATCAAAAAAAATTGCTTTCTTCGAATAATACAAGAAATGAAACTAACTACATGTCAGAAGTTGGGTCAATCACAGTAAGGTTGAGCTTGCTATGTACAGCAAGAGTGACAGCCTCCTCACATAAGGGACTCCCTCATGTGAAGGGGCTGTTAGCTTGTAATAGTACTATACAAGTAGATTAGCCTATCACAGTAGAGATGAATGCTACAGAAAATAGCTTACGCCAAAGAAATAATGCCACGTGGAAAATATTTTGACAACCTCATCAACTAATTCAAATATGCAGAAGAAATGTCCAAAGTGTAATATTATCCAAAGTGGAAATTACAGGAAACTCCAGCGTTAAAATCTTGTGTTCTAAAATCAGGTGGGAACTTTCAATTTTTCACAAATCAAATATTTCACATTTAAGTATAAATATTAAATATACAATTTTCATCCCAAAACCCTAATCAATTTATTCCCTCATTTCTCTCTCTATATTCGCTTCTCTCATTCTTCTCTCTTTATACCCATAGATGCTGCTATCTCTCTCAGTCAAACCATAACCGATCAATGATGGCCACAAATATCGCCAGCTAGAAGAACAAATTCACCCTTACTGTGCGACGTTGCACCAAAGATTTGGTGGTGGTGGTAGTGCTGGGGTGGATTTGGAATCGTTGGCTAGGAGAAAAGTGAATCGTCGATCAGAAGTGAGCGATGCAGCGTTGGCTTGGCTGTGTGAAGTCATCGACAAGATTTCTCTCTGTTTTGGTGGTGGTGATGGTGTGTATGGTGGCGGTGTTGTGGTAGTGGTGGTGCGGTGCTTTGGAGTGGTGGAATGAGGCATGGGTGTTGTTGGGGTTGTAGTGGTGGTGATGTGGATGGTGGTGGCATCTTTCATATTTTGGAGGTAACAGGGCGATAATGGTGATAGTGATAATGGTTGTGGTAGTCGTGGCAATGATTGGGAGTGGGATGAGATGGGATTGGATGCTTGTGATATGTGATTAATAATTTGGTTGATAGTGAAAAATAGTTGGTTAATTTGTAATATGTGACCAAAAAATTGTGACTGTGACTCACAATTGATTAAATTTTAATCGAAAAATTAATCCTGACCAATTTAATATAATAATTTGCGATTAATAAATGAGTTATGACCAATAAAAGTTTTGATTTTGTGATTAATAATCATGACCGAAAAATAATATGTGACCTATAAAATTTTTGATTTGTGACCGAATAATAAATTGTGACCAATAATTTGATAAGTTGTGACAAATTAATTTTTTGATTTGTGATCAATGAACAAAAATTTAAATTACAAAATATTTGAATTGTGATCGTAAAATAATTTGTAACACAAAATTTCTGATTTGTGCCAAAAACTAATAAGTGGCTAATTAAATTGTAAATTTGTGACCAAATTGTATAAATACGTGACCTAAATATATTTAATTAATACATTAATAATTAAATCATAAATAAATTTTAATAAAAATCTGATTTTTGAAATTTGAAACCAATATCCTTGATTTGGAAATGTGTTATACTTAAATTATTACTTATGAAATTTTCCCTTATCCAAATCACATTGGCATAATGGATCCAATGAAAAGTAAAAATTGACACTTTGGCACTCATGTTCATCTTGAGGGTCGACAAAGTTGGAGAAATTTATTTATTTAAATTATATTTTTAGTATTTTCGTCTAGTGAATATGGTTAGATAGTATATGAAGAGAATTATGCATATCAAAG